TAAAAAAATTTTGCAATAAGCAGTTTTGTTTGTTTAAATTGTTTCTTATCCAAGATGAACTAGCAATCTAAAAATTTAAAGAGTTGTTTAGGAAAGTAAAGTGAAAAAGAATATTACTTAATGAATAAAAATATTATCTAGTTCATATAATATTGATGGTAATGAAAGATGGGATAACTTGAGCATTAACTATTTTAACTATGAATATTTTAATAATATTTATGAAAATAATGTTGAAATAAATATTTAAACCAGAAAAAGCTCAGTAACTCAAGATATGAATTTGTATGATGTTCCATCTAGATCAAATGTAATTAATAATAATTTTATAGATAGTGAATCTGTTAATTCTGATATTACAATATATGATAATGAATTTACTATATTATCTAATAATAGAATTCGAAATTCAAATAACAGAGAAATAGATACTGAAGTATTTTATGATAATCTAGGTTTAAATAGATGATATCTATTATTAATAAAATTTATTCATAAACTCTTAATAGTTTTATTTTTAATTATTAATAATTCTAGTATTAATATTTAGAAAAATATAATTAAAATATTTCTTGATCAGAGGTACTAATTCTAGTTTTGAAGCTTTATTTTTTGAATAAAATTTTCATTCTTCATGTTTGTCAGGTTCAGTTTGCAGTGCCTTTTCTTCTTTAGGAAATAGGTAAATGTAAACTTTATGCAGTAGCTTATAATAATCATCTTTAGGTTTAAATTCTACAAATTGTATTCTTGTGATGAAAGTCTTGTCTCAGAAGCTACACATAATAAACCTTCTTGTAAATCCTTAATTCCAATTAAAATATCAGTTTCTTCTTTTACTTCTCTTTGTAAACTAGTAATAACTTCTTCATTAGGATCAATCTTTCCACCTGGCCCATTATAGTATTCAAGTAGAACTTCAGATAATTGTTTACTAAGAAGTATGCTTCCAAACTCAATATAGAATACAATGATAACAATATTGTGTTTTCCAAGAAATGACATAGTTAAACTTATAAATAGTGATTAGTTCAACTACTTTATTTATTATTTTTATTGTGATACAGAAAAAAAATATAAATTAAATCTAAAAACTTTCTTAAATTATTAAGATGGATTTAAACATAATTCATAAAGAGTACTAATATCTAAATCTTATCAAGAATATTTTAGATAATGAAGAAAATAGAGATAATAGAACTAGTACTAGAACTTTATCAATCTTTTCTCCTCCTCAATTAAGATTTACTTTGAAATATAGAAAGATTCCACTTTTGACAACTAAATAGATGTTCTTTAAAGAGATTGCAGAAAAACTTTTTTGGTTCATTAGTGAAAGTACAGATGCTAGTAAATTACAAAAAAAGGGTATTATATTTGGGATAAAAATGCAGAAGAAAGCAATGATCTAGGACTGATTTATGGGTTTCAATTAAGGCATTCTGGTGCAAACTATATTAACTATAAAACTGATTATTCTGGTAAAGATGTGAATCAATTAGAATATGTGATCAATTTGATTAAGACAGATCCTTCAAATAGAAGAATTGTAATTAGTTTTTGGAATCCCAAAGATTTAGATAAAATAGCATTACCACCTTGTCATGTTTTTGTTCAATTCTATATTAATAATCTGGAAAGTAAAACAAAAAAGAAAAGCTTATCATGTCATGTATTTCAAAGATCTGGAGATGTAGGATTAGGTGTACCATTCAATATTACAAGTTATGCATTGTTAACTCATAAGATTGCTAACATTACTGGTCTTGAAGCTAAAGAACTTATTCTTACTCTCGGTAATGTACATATTTACCAAGATCATAAAGAAAAACTACAAGAACAAACAAAAAGAAAACTATATGAATTTTTAACAATTTCATTTAAATGTGATCAAGATAATTTAAAACAGTTTAAATATGAAGATATCATTTTGGAAAATTATATTTCTCATGAGAAAATTAAACTTAGTGTTTCTTAGTTTATTTGCTTAGATTCTTTCTTAAATTAGATTCTTAACATAGTTTTAATTCTGTTTAAATGATTAATAAAATTAATATGTATTTCAAATTCAATATTGCATAATGAATATTTACTACAGATAAATGATTAAAGAATCTTTTTTTATTTTTCTTTATCTTATTATCTGGGTTTTTTTTATCTATAGTGTATATCTTGTCATTATTAACTTGCAAGTATTTAGTCATAATAATCATAGGTTCGATATGTTCTTCAAACAAAAAGTAAATAAAATGATCAAAAAATAAATACAGAATTTCATCATTACTACATATTTGAATAATATTCAGATGTTCTTTTTTAAAAGATACATTGCAGATTGCAAATGTAATAATAATTTCTTAATATAATTAAAATTATTAATAGAAAATTCCTTTGGTACTCTATTATTCAAACTGCCAAACACATTAATCAGAACTCATAAAAGTAAAATATAATCAAAACAGATACTAATAATATTAGAATTAATATTATAAGTATTTAGTATCTAGAATAAAAATAATTCTTCAAATGGCATAATTTCTTGAAAGTTAAAGAAAAAATTATCATTATAAGGTCATTGCAATGTCTCTTTTAATAATAAAAAGGTTGAATTGATTTGTTGTTCAAATGTATTTAAATATAAATCTTTGATGTAATATCGATCTTTGAGAAAAAAATCTTTTATGCTCATAAAGTTATATTTTGTAAACATACTTACTTTAAATAGCTTGAATAATATTTTTTCTTCAGATCTTTTCATTATTTTTGATGTTATTTTTAAAATATCATTTTCAACAAGAGACATTCGATTCTCAAATACAGAATAAATATCACAAAGAAGTTGAGTAGTAATCATATATCCAAGATCATATAGTGTATTTATCTTATTATATACTGTATTATATTCATTAAATAAATTATTATTTGGTAGATAGCATATGAGAAATTGACCTTGGATAATAAGATCATTTGTATCTTAAATTATATCATAATATTCTATTTCTTGCCAAAGTTTAATTAGTCTATGCTCCAATAAGATAGTTCTAGAAATAATATTCAATTAGTAATTATTTTCATAACCATCTTAAGGAGGATATTCTTCTAAAATATTAATCAGTTTATATGATCATAGTGGAAAGAGAGCAAATTGATATTTTTTAATCAGATTTTCCAACATTGCATATTTTTCTTTTAAAATTATACTGGCATTACTTATAATCTCTGGGCCATTAGAAAGAAAATGAAAATCTCCATATCATTACTTTAAAAACATACTTCATCAATTCTATAAGTTTTTATAGCTTTAGCAATAATCTGAAAAACTTCTTTATAATTGATAAAAGAAACCCATTTCATTTTGTTTTCAAATGAGACATTATTTGTAATTATAGTTCCATGAGTTGTCAACATGTGTTGTGCTTTTAGTAAAATTAAACTAGAATCAGAATTACCAAAGCATAACATTATTCATTAGACAAAATATCGTAAAGGTAATACATTTAATTTAAACAAAGCTTCAATAAGCTGGGTATTTAAAAATCGATGTTTTGTTCTAAATTATAAGTTCTTCTTAAAAGCATAAAACAGTATATGACATTTACCATAATGATAAACTAACCAATATGCATGAACAGTCATATCATGACTTATCTTATTTTATTCTTTTGAAACCTCTGTTAAAGAGAAAGGATCATTTAATAAAATAAAAATTATTTGTTTAACTTCAATTGAAAACAAATTCATAATTGATTTAAGAATAGAAGAAAAAAGAATAAAACAATCAATTTATTTATAATTATTAGTTTATAATACATCACATGATTAATATAACAAGATATATTATTTACTATCATATTTAACTCTTTTACTATTACACATTGAAGTTTTAGTCTCTGATTATGAATTCATTCTTTTATTTTCTTGCTCAAGAGCAGCTATTCTTTCTTTTAAGAAACCTATTTTATACTTCAATTTATTATTTCTATCATATAACATTTTATTATTATTTCTATCTTTTTCATTTCATTTGATTGATTCATCATGATTTTTCAGAAGTCTTTGAATTATGTCATCTTTTTCTTTAATTAAATTTAATAATTTTTTAAATCTTTCTTTTTTTCATGTAATTCATTATTCAACTGATATATCTCATTTTTTCATTTTTAAATTTCATTATTTCTTCGACTAATTTCATCTTTAAGGTCTTTTATATTATCACTCTTTTCATCAATCATTTTATAACATTCATTAAGCTTTCTTTTGAGTTTTTTAACTTCCTTTTTATTATTTACATTTTTATTCTTTGATGCTTCAGTATGTTCATTTATTTTTTCATTAAATGAATTCATTAGTAATTCCTTTTTGATATTACTTTCATTTAAATTATTCATTTTTTCTTTAACAGGAGTCATTTCATTAACAGTTACATTCTTTGAAATTCTTCTTCAACAAAACATTTATTATTAATAAATGCATCAAAATCCAAAACATCATTTACTAAAGCTTTGGTTTTCATAAAAGAATATTGATCATTTGGTAGAAGAACATAAGAATAATTAAATGTTCTATTATTGATATTAATACATTCATTTGATTCATTAAATTTAGTAGAATAATAATCATTTGCATTAGTTTCAAAATACATTTTTTTTTTATTTTTCTTTAGGTGAAAGTTGTTGAACTTATTCGGAAATTCAATTCTTATTTTAATACCTTTTTCAAGTTATCATGTTTGTTACAAAAATGAATTTTAAGTATTTATTTTTCAAATTGAACATAAGAATTAGTTTTACGATTTTCTAAATATAGATAAATTAGTAATATCAAATAGCTCATAAAGACTGTCTTACTATATAATCCTTATAAAATTTTTTATCTATTCTTCTTTTGGTAATTCTTATAACTACAAAGAACTAACAAACATTTATCTTTTCTTTGTAATTGTATTCTTAAATTCGATATATGAATCTATTATATAATATTAATATAAATAAAATACATTGATGATTAAAGGTTACATTTTGTGTAATGTGATAATTGATGTGACTATCAAGTGTATTAGTACACCTTATTCTATAGATGAACCATTCAATTGTATAGTTGTAAAATTGCAGACATAAGATCTATCAGACTCTTCTCTTTTTAGTTTTGAAGCCTGTAACTATTTTAAGGCTGAATGGTCTGTTACTACTACAAATGACCTAAATCTGAAATGGTAATAATAGTACTCTATAATCCAGAGTACTGCAAAACATTTCAATTCAGTTGCAAATATTTTCATTTAGCTTTGAAGAGATTTCAGCTCATGTATACAATAATATGCTTTTTGTTTTCTTTACTTTTTTGTGCTAGAACTGTACCAAGTCTGTCCTGAAGGTGTCAGTATATAGATAAAACATCTTATTAAAATTGAGATACTTGAATATGGGTGCCAAAGTTAAGTGGTCTTTCAATTTGTTAAATATGCTTTGTTGTTCCTGTCTTCATTTATAGCCAATACCTTTTTGCAACAAGTGATATAGTAGTTTGGTGATTGTGCAAACCCTTGAATAAATTATTAATAGTATGTAGCTAAGCCAATAAAGCCTTTTAATTGTTAAAGGTTTAGAATATAAAGAAATATTTAACCTTTTCTACTTTTGCCTTATTAGGTTTAATTCCATTATAACTAACTACATGTTCAAGAAAGTGAATATTCAGTTTGAAGAAATTACACTTTTCAATATTCATTTTTAATCTACATTGATATTATTAAGATAGACAACAATAAATTTTTTTATATATTCTTTTAACACTTTGTTTATAAGATGCTAAAATGTTGCTAGATGTACATAAACTAAACAGCATTATATTAAATTTAAAAAGGCTGCTTTGGGTAATAAATGCTGTCTTTTCTTGGTCTTTTTTGTTTATTCTAATCTGCCAATATTTGCTTTTTAGGTTTAGGCTTAAAAACCAATTGATGGTCTTAAAGGTTTTTAGTAGATTATCTATTCAAAGCAACAAGTAAGTGTCTTTCTTTGTTAAGATGTTAATTTGCAGTAGTTAACACATAGTCATAATTTGACACTCTTCTTTGATACTACTACTACTGGTGATGCCTAAGAGCTACTGGACTTTTTAATTAATCTTTGTTTTTCTATCTCTCTTAGTTCTTTCTCTACAAACTTCTATTTGTCTAGTATGATCTTATATGCATGTTGTTTAATTAGTTTGGCATTAGCAGTAGTGATTTTGTAGATGATAACATTCATTATGCTTAGTTTTTATATCTTTTTTTGTGAATAGTAATTCTTCTTGCTTAAAGAATTCTTGCACTTTTGCTTTTTTCTCTTTATTGAATGTCTTGACTTGTATGAATTTCTCTAACTGTGCACTAATGGCAAGCTTGCTTTTATTTTCTTCAGTGAGTAGTTTATTTACATTAGTCAAGTAGATGATAGAGCTGATTTTATTCTCCCACAAGTTGTAGTAGAGCTCATTTTTGTCTCTTGGCATTTTCTCACTATAGTATTTTTTGGCCTTATTTAGCTTCTTTTTGTTATAAATAAGTTTATCGAAGGTATCTGCACTGTTGCTACTTCAAGGATCCTCCTCTTTCAGTTCTTCAAATCTTTTCTTTTCATCAGTTGATATTGGTAATTTGATAGTGATTTTTTTGTGCATTATAAGTAATAGTTGCTTATTGAAATAGAGTCTTGCTTGAGCTTTTTAGAATTAATTTGTTCCCAACAGTAATATTTTGTTAGTAGATTTTATTACTTGAAATGTACTAGGTAGAACAGCTTCTGTAATGTAATGCTGAGGTCATCTATCTATCCTTATGTCCTAGTTTGGGTCTCAGTTGCAGTAACTACTACTATCATTAAAGGTCAGTTGATCTTAATTCATAGTTTATTTATAAGCCTCTTGGTCATTATGCTTACAGCTGCTTCGAAGTTTAGCATAACTTTTATTAAGTTTCTTTTTATTCTTACAAAACAATATGCTGCAGTCATTTACTAAGTTCTTTCAAAGTTTACCAATCAAGCTTTCTAGAAGCAAGAGGCCTTCAAAGGGCTTGCACCAATATCTGTTATTAGTTGGAATATTGAAGCAACTGTTTGTAGATAATGTAGACAAATGAGTTCAATAGGTCATATATGATATTGTAAGAGTCCAACTTATTGATTACAAAATGTTTATGTTTTCTTTGGAGCTTTAGAATTAGTCTAACTATGTCTTCTTCTATTGGATCTAAGGTGTTATTCAAGTTCACTAAGGGCACTTTATCTACTTCTTATTGTTATCTTATTGATTGTTCTATAGTGACTCTGTCTGTAACTTTGGTTATTTTTCAAGTATTTGTCTGGTTAGTTGGTTGCCTTTGTTTTTTAAGATTGTACAGTTCATCTTCCTCTTCTCAGATCATACAATTTATTCTTCAGACTTGTTGCAGCCTTCTCATTTCTTCACTCAAATATTGTGGTCTTTCTGTTTCTCTATTTATGGATCTTGGTTATCTTTCAGCCAGGCAATATTATATGATATGTCTAATTTTTCTATATTTATAGCACATGATGTCTTTTTTCAGTCTGCAGTAGCTTTTGTAGTGTCTTTTAATTCAGAGGTTTCTTTTTTTTTCTTGTTATTTAATGCTATGTAGTTTACTAAGAGTTGTTGAACTTGTTTGACTAAGGCTTTAATTAATTTAGCCTTCTTATCTGTTAATCAGACAGTCTTAGATATATAGATAATATAATAATTTCTAGCTTCTACTTTTCTGGTATTTACAATGGCCTTATTTAGATCTTGCAGTGACATTACAGTTACAAATATGACAGTTTTTTTTTTAGCTTTCCAAGAAACATTTATACAGTATACAATTTAGATAAAGGGTCTATCCTACTTAGCAACTTTTTAAATTTAGTTGCATTAGCATTGACCTTCTTATTTTTACCTTGGACTAAGATGTTAAGTTCTAATTACAATTTGTGCTGCTTTTCTGAGATGGTAAAAAATATTACTAATAGGAAGTAAAAGCTGTTTTCTGCTGCTCTGTCTTTTTTTCAGTAGGCTATCTCATTCTGATAGTCCTTGTACTATTCAGCAGCCATAACTCTCAGATAACTAGAGGTGATTTGTATCTTTTATTAGTCATTTTAATTGTTTGCTTCTGCAGCTTGTTTGAAGTATTTAAGCTATTTAATTAGATCATCATTATCATTTCTGCTAAAGGTTCTTATTTTTACAAGATTTGTTTCTTTGAAATTTGGTTTATTCTTATTAGTAATACTTCTAGTGGCATCTTTGAATGATCATATCATGATGTTAATTAGTTCTTTAAGTTGGCTATTATTTATAGCTTTTGTCTTTTCTTTTCTAAAAATTAGTTCTAGTTTTGTCTTTTTATATAACTCTAGTCTATCTTATTATGATTGTTCAGAGATTTTAATTAGTTTTTTGCTTTACTATTACTCTTAATCTGATTTTTCTTAAAAATTTTCAATTGGGAATAGTGAGCATTTTACTAATTTTGTAATCTCACAATTACCACCAAATGTTGTTCTGAAATTAGCAAGTTTGTTGCTAAATTAATTCAATTCTCATATAATCTATGGCAGCTAAGTCAAAATAGACATATTAGATTTGGCTAAGTAGTTTATTCATAGATAAGTTTTAATTTTTTTTTTAGAGCTTTCTTTTAACCTAGGCTTTTACTAACTTTTGTCTTTTCTTTATCTTCTCTTTATCTTTTTTTCTATGCCTCAACCTAGAATTACTCTTTATTAAATCAGAGTTAGAAATTTTCTATAAAATTAATAGTCTTGTTACATGACTTAAGGCTAGTGATCAACTTGTAAGTTTAGAGATTTATTTAAATAAATAATAAGGGTAACAATAAGGTTTACAATAGTTTATTTGTTTGTATAGTGTAGACTTTTAATTTTATTAAGGGTTGGGTATTTATTTGTTATTAGGAATTTGTTGTAAAAATGTAGAAATTGTTATTTTTACCAAGGCAAAAATATCCTTTATTTATAATAAATATTTTGTTTATATTTATAGTTAATTTCTCTCATAAATGCATTATATTTTTTATATTCTATATCCTAACTAAGTCTAATAAAATGCTAATATTTCATTTAACTTATATATAAGCAAAATCATAGAAGTGATATAAGTAATCTAAAGTGATATTTCTGTCATGTTCATGTAATTTTGGATTGGGGTAGGCTTATTGTTTCAATATAAACATCTGTGATCCTAAAAATCAGGCTTATACTGGCAAACATTCATTAATTTATTAAGTCTTATGAAATTTAGCTTACTTTTAACAAAGTTACTGTATACTAAGATAACCTATTTAACAACTTTGCTGACTAACTTGCTCATAATCACTAAATATTACCTTACTTAATATTCTTAACTAATAATCATTATAACCTCAACTATACTTCTTTTATTGATAAATTTTTTATTTAAATTTCTATTTAATGCTCTATTCGAACTATATGCCAAGCCTATATTATAACACTTTGAATATTTCAACATTATTTTTAACAATAATCCATCATTAGATCTAACATTAACTAAAAAGCTATATAGCTTTATATCAACAACAATCAAAAAATTTCCAATTTTGTATATAACTTTTATTCATCTATTCTAAAAACTTTTCAAATTAAAATTTTTATAAATGAACTTTCTATTTCTAATACTTTTTATAAATGTAATCTTTTACTTTTTTTCTTCTGTCATCAATGCAACTATAGCAGCTCTTTACTTATTGGGCTATCTGCTCATCAATCTAAACAATTTACTACTTAATTTCTAATTCTCTTTATAGTATTTTAAATACAACTATTTTTGATATGTTTGCCAATCTTGTTTCTGATTTATATACTAAAATTTTCACACTTAACAGTTTCAAACTGCACAACTCTTTATATATACCTTTTCTTATTTCTACTCTATTTGGTTTAGTTCCTATCAATCTTATTTTTAGTATCACAATACTTTTATTTCTTATTGTACTATTACCACTTTTTTTATCAAACTTCTTTTTTACTTAAACCAACAAATATACAAACAAATATAGATTCTATACTGCATTTCACATTTTGCATAGTCTCAAATTATACTTTCTACTAACTCAACTTATAGTCATTCTTTTTGTTTACTTTTACCTTCTATTTCAATATTACAAATTATTACTAAAATTGATTTTTGGATTATC